TATTTACTATAAAAGATGTAGCGATGAATATCATATAATACCAATGTAAAGATAGATTATTAGATCAAACAAAATGAAAACAAAAAAGAAATGGTAACTTCTACAAAAATGTACCCAAAAGAAATGAGAAAAGATATGTACCAGAATGTTCCCAGCAGTTTTTTCATAAAGTTTGAAAATGAACACAAATAGCCATAAAAAGAAAAATAAACAAAATTTAGTATAAAACAATATAATATTAATCAACATTAAGACGAAATAAAGTAATTGCTGATACACTCAACCAGCATGGATAAACTGCAAAAACATTATGCTGAGCAAAAGAAGCCAGAGTAATTTTATGAGTCCATTTACATGAAGCTCTCAGGGGATGACTCTAATCTGTAGTGGGAGGAAAAGAGACAATTGTTGTGGAGGGTACTGACCAGGATAAAACACAAAGAAATCTTCTAAGATGATGGAAATATTCTATAGCTTGATGGACTATGGGTTATACAAGTTTATGCAGTTGTCAAAGCTCTGAACTATAACTCAGGATATGAGATCATTCCACTTTAAACTTTCCTTCGGTTAAAAAATATGTATGTATTTTCACTCAAAAAATATTTAATTGCTTACTATAGCCCAGGTATTGACAACACAAAGTTAAAAGACAGGCTCCAGAAAACAGACCTTATAGTTTTGCAAGCAAAATAAGTTAGTTACCATAATGAAATGCACATAAAAAAGAAAGCTTCTGAACTGAGAAGTGAAAAATGGTACACTGTCAAACAAAGAATAGTACAGGTACATGCAACATGTACAGAAGTAATAGAAAAAACAGCAGTGAACCTGGACAACTTAAGTAATTTCATATGCTTAAAGAATGAAGTGAGGAAAGGAGCTTGAATAACGAAGTAAGGAGCTGGATAAAATGAGACCTGATTTGCAGGCTCTTTCAGCCCATGTAAAAGGGTACATTTTAGCTGTTTGGAAACAAGGAATCTCTGAAGTAGTTTTAGTAGAGGAATTAGAATTAAAATTCTCATTTTGGAAAGACTGCTATAGAAACTATATGAAATATCGATTAAACAAGGCTCAGGCTACAGTCCAATAAAAAGGTTATTTTAATGTACAAACTAATTCATCCAACAAGAGCAGAACACATATTCTTCTCATGCTCACATGGAGCATTCATTACATTCAGGGCCACAAAACACACCTTAATGAATTTAAAAAGACTAGAAAACACACTATATATGCTCTAAACCACAGTGGAATTAGACTAGAAATCAACAACAGAAAAACAGCTGGAAGATCCCAAAATACTTGGAGATTAGACAACATACTTCTGAATAACACATGGATCAAATAAAAAATCTCAGGAGAGAATTTTATAATTTGACCTCAAAAGCAAGGGAAGCAAAACCAAAAACAGATAAACAGGACCATATCAAACTAAAAAGCTTCTGCATAGCAAAAGAAACTGTCAAGAACAAAAAGGCAATCAACTAAATGGGAGAAGATATTTGCAAACACCACCTCCCAATAAGGGGTTAATATCCAAAATATATAAAGAACTCATACAACTCAACACAACAAAAAAACAATTGGCCAAAAAAACAGAAAGGCAACCAACTGAACAGATTTTTAGACAACAGCTCCGACAAGGGATTGTCTATAGCCGAAACACATAAAGAACTCACACAACTCAACAGCAAACAGACAATCCAGTTAAAAACTGAGAAGATGACCTGAACAAACACTTCTCCCAAGAAGAAATATAAATGGCCAATGGACATATGAAAAAAATGCTCAATTTCAACAGCTATTAGGGAAATGCAAATGAAAACTACAATGAGGTATCACCTCACACCTGTTAAAATGGCTATAATCAATCAAGACAAGTAACAGTAAGTGTTGGAGAGGTTTTGGGGGAAAAGGAACCCTCGCTGACTGCTGGTGGAAACGTAAACTGGTAGAGCCACTAAGGAAACCAGTATGGAGGTTCCTCAAAAAAATTAAGAATAGAGTTACTAAATGACCCAGGAACCCCTCTTTTGGTATCTACCCAAAATATTTGAAAACACTTATTCATAAAGATTTATGTACCCCTACGTTCACTGTAGCATTATTCACCATGGCCCAGACATGGAAACAGCCAAAGTGTCTCTCAACAGATGACTGGATAAAGAAGATGTGGTACATACATACTATGGAATACTTACTACTCAGCAAGAAGAAAAGATGAAATACTGCCATTAGCAATAACATGGACCTTGAGAATATCCTGGTAAGCAAAGAAAGTCTGACAGAAAAAGTCAAGAACCATGTGATTTTACTCATATGTGGGATATAAAACTGAAAACAGTTGGAACAAGACAAACATACACTCATAGACACAGACACCAGTATGGTGGTTACAAAAGGGGAAGGGGACAGCAGTAGCAAAGGATAGATGGAGTCCAATATGTGGTGATGCTGGGTAGTAAACACGCAACGCAATATACAGATCACATAATCATAGAACTGCACACCTGAAACCTATATAACCTTATTAACCAAGGTCACCCCAATAAATTTGATTTATAAAAGAAATCTCAAGAGAAATTAAGATACATAGGACAAAATGAAAATAAAAATATAGCTTACCAAAATTTGTGGGAAATAATGAAAGCAAAGCTTAGAGGGAAATTTATTTTACTGATTTTAGAGAGAGAGATGAAAGGAGGGAAGGAAGTAGGAAAAAAGTAAGAGTTAGGGGGAGACATCAATTTGTTGTTCCACTTATATGCATTCATTGGTAGATTCTTGTATGTGCCATGACCAGGGAATGAACCCACAAACTTGGCATTAAGAGGATAACGCCCTACCCAAGTGAGCTACCTGGCCAGGGTGGACAATTTATAGCGTTAATTGCATTTATTAGGAAAGATTTAAAATCAATCTTCTAACCTTCCAACTTAGAAAGCTAGGGGGAGAAAAGCACAAATTAAATCCAAAATAACAGGAAAGAAATAAAAATTAGAGATCAAATCAATGAAACTCAAAACTGGAAATCAATAGTGAAAATCAAAAGTTGGTTCTTTCTAAGTATCAACGAAATCAGTAAGCCTCTGCTGGGGGTGGGGAATGGGTAATTGTTGTTCAATGGGTACAGAGATTCAGTTTTGCAAGAGGAAATGGTTCTAGAGGTGTTCCACAATATGAATATAGTTAACAATGCTGTGCACTTAAAAATTGTATTTAAAAAGGAGCAGCAAGACCCTAGCCAGGATAAGGAAAAAAAAGAAAACATATAAACAATATAAGTCACCACTACAGACCCCATGGAGAGTGAAAGGATAATAAGGGAATACTATGAACAACTTCATGCTTACAACTTTGATAGCCTAGATGAAATTAATCAATTTCTTGGAAGACAAAACCTGTCAAAACTCACGTAAGACAAAACAAATTGAATAGGCTTATATCTATAAAAGAAATTGAATCAGTAATTAGTAACCTTGCAACAAAGAACATACCAGGTCATATGGACTCACTGGTAAATTCTACCAAACATTTAAGGAAGACATATCAATTTTCTACAATCTCTTCGAGGAGACTAATTCATTATGAAGTCAGGATTGCTCTAATATCAACAATCAGATTAAGATTTTTTGTTTCAAAAAAGAAGAAAACTAAATAAATATATCTCATGACCACAAATGCAAAATTCCTCTACAAAATTATTAGAAAATTGAATCCAAGCTCTGGCTGGTGTGGCTCAGTGGACTGAGCGCCGGCCTGCAAACCAAAGTGTCGTCGGTTTGATTTCCAGTCCTGCCTGGGTTGCCGGCCAGGTCCCCAGCATGTGAGAGGCAACCACACATTGATGTTTCTCTCCCTCTCTTTCTCCCTCCCTTCTCCTCTAAAATAAAGAAATAAAACCTTTAAAAAAAGAAAGAAAACTGAATCCAATAATGTATAAAAAGAATTACACACCACAACCAAGTGGAATTTATTCCAAGTATGCAAGGCTGGTTCAACATTCAAAAATCAATGAACGTAATCCATAATATGGAATAGATAAAAAAAGAAAAGGCTATTGTAATGGGCTAGGTAAAAGCTGCTAAGCATATGTATTAGAACATAACTATAAGCAGTTTTTCCATTTATTCACACCAAGCGCGAACAACTGGAATATAAGGGAAAATAAGACAAACTTCATGCTCTTGTAGAGCCTACAATCTATCAGAGACTCAGAACAATGAACAAGCAATCACAAGCCCCTGTAGCAAGGACTCAACCTAGACTGGAGAGAAGTGGCAGGGTGATGGTGTGATGCAGTAACGAGGTTAAAAGACGGGCAGGCATATGGTTGGCTGAGGGGAGTATTGTAAGCAGGATATATGAAGGTCGTGAAGCAAAAGAAAAAGTACAGTATGCTAAATATACTGAAAGGAATCCAGGTTTAGTATCACAGAAAGAATAGAAAAGGATTACATATGGTTGCGGTTTTGCTGGTTATCAGGTAAAAATGGGTCTCTACAAAAGAATACCTTAGGTAATAAGCCATGATAGCTGGGATAAATGGAGAAGACTAAAGGTCTGATATACGTTCAAAAGATAATTTAAAAAATAAAGAATGCAGGAATTCCTGAGTTACAGAATTTGAAGACAAACCCCTAGAGTGCATGATCTTTTTCTAACTATGCTCAAGAATCAATCTTTCTACCCATTAAAGACAAACAGATACAGTATCTTAAAAAAGAAGCACTTGAAACTTACACTGTAATCTTGATAAAGAAATAAATGTTCTCCTGAAAGAGAGAAGTTTCTAAAATGTACATAATAACAAACTTAATTTTGCCTTTCCAGATAGGATTTCTGTCATTATTTGGTGTATCTATTTAAAACACCCATTTGAACTATTTAGCCATGAAACATTTTCTGAAATTTCTTCAATAACTTGTAGCATTACTTAATACAAAATTATGTTTCTAATTATCTGTTTAATATTTTATAAAGGAGTTACTTACAGGGACATTAAGTGCATACTGTAGTCCTTGAGGAAGTCTTTCATGTGTTTCCATCTGCTCTTCATCATTTTTCACTGTCTCCTCATGGACCATGAGTTCATCATGTGATATCATATCCTGTTGTCTCATCTCACTTTCTTGTAACACTTCATCTGCAGCAAGGATCTCCTGGTGGGGCATACTTCGATCTTGAAGTACCGACTCCTGCAGGTCCCCAGACACACTGGACTGGCCAGACACTCCACCCATTACAACCATTGCCCTGGAAGACTGCATTTCGTCTATGCCGCCACATTTAAGAAATAATCCTTCCAGTTTGTCGTCAATGTTCATGCTTAAGTATAACTGCCTAGAAAGACCAAGTGTGGCAACAAAGCATAATAAATTAGTTTTATATGTCTACTTGATAATCTTTAATTAAATTATGTAAAGTACATACTTTAATAGAAAAATTTCACTCGTATAAATCAGTATTGCCTCCAATTTTTAAATGCCAAGATAAATTTCCATAAGGCTAGTAGAGGAAAACACAAATTTTCCCTTTAGTCTGTAAGGCTTACTCTAATCTATTTTTAGGAAAAAATGGGTCTGACATTAAACAAATTAGAGAAAAAGTATTTGTAACAGTTAAAGGATTTACATCCTTTAATATATTAAAATATCTTAAAAAGAAATTAATTCATTAGGCAATAAACTGACATAACATTATCAGGCAAATCATAAAGGAAACTTAGAAACAGTCCCTAAATATATAAAATACTAGTCAATTACAGAAGTAATCAAAGAAATAAATATTAAAACAGAGGTACCATATTTAAACCACCAAACTGGTAATGACTCTTAAAAAATTAAGTCCAAAGTTGAAAATCTCTTATCTACTGACTGTGGAAATATAAATCAGTTCAGCAATTTTCAAAGGCAATTTGGGTCTACGTATCAAAAGTCATAAAAATGCACATATCCTTTGAATCAGTGATTATACTTTTAGGAACCTATGCTGACAAAATCAGAAATACATACAAAGATATGCACGAAAAACCACTGAGTGTTTACAATAGTGAAAAACTGCAAATACATTACATAATCAACAAAAGAAAACTGATTAAATATATTCATACACATGCTTTAAAACTAGACTATGGTGATGGTTGTGCATCTCTGCAAATTTACTAAAAATCACTGAAATGTACATTTAAAACAAGTGAACTTTTTTTCTTTTTCTTTTTTTTGCACAGAATCTTTTTAAATTTTATTGCACGTAAGTTATATCTCAATAAAGTTTTTCTTAAAAATAAAGTCAGAATGGCTACCCTTTGGAGGGGCTGCTGAAAGGAGGCAGGAAGAGGGGGAAGTCTGGGAGCTGGCAACGTTTTCTCTTGAGCTGAATGATTATTGCAGAAGTGTGCTCACTTTGTAAAATTCCAAGATATACATCTGTGATGTGTGCACATTTCTAAAGTATGTCAATAAAAAGTTAATCTGTTGAAACAATAACATTCATATAGTCATAAAAAGTATTCTTGAAAAATATTTGAAAATTTGGGGAAATATCACAATATAAAGGGATGTGTGTGTCTGTATGAATGTGCACTGGTTTGTCTAAAATGCTAACATACTAACATTACCACTGGGTGCTAAAATTACCAATTTTTAACCATAATTATATTTACCCTAATTTGAAAACTTTCTATAGTAAAATTTTATTTTTTACAAATGATTCTCAATTTGTTAAAATAAAAAGTAGTATTTTCATTCCTAATATAGTCTTAAATACTTTTACATGATTAAATAAGTACGTCATGATAAAAACTAGACCCTATTACATTATCTTTTTTCTATTATTATAGAAAAGGCAGGAAATTTTAAATCTGTCCTTTTAATTCTGGTTGCCATAAATTCATCTTCCATGATGTTACTTTAGGAACTAACACTAATTATGAAATCCAAAGAAACAACATTTCAAAGATTAAAGGATTGGTACAAAGCTTGTTTTATAAAACTGCCTTCTATTAAGACTATGTGAAATAAACATATATAACCAACCCAAGGAGAAGGGCCCACGATTAGTAAATGCATTAATTATGTTTCAGTCTAGTTGCCTCTCTCACAAATCAATCAGGTAGGTAAGGGTTACTAACTTGATCACAGCTTTCAGAGGTAAATGATCAGTTAAATACACTACTAAAATATAAACACTATTTCTTTTACCAAGGCTTTTTATCTAGGAAGAAACCTTTACTTAAACAGCTCAAAAACCATATACACAGAGAAGTAAACAAAATAAAAATGTAAGTCATACTTGCTAATCTTGTTTTCCCTGATACCAGGTACTATCAGCCTAGAATACATAGGACAAAGAACCAAGAATCCAATTTGACTTTTTAAAACCTCTAAGTAGCAAAACAAAATCTAAAAGAAAAAGACTTTAAATACATCACAAAATAACCAAATATTCTGTTTATCACATTCCTTAGGAAAAAAACTACTGTATGACTAAGTGAAACTTAAGTGTTTTAGGGCTAAAATTTGCTTAGTCTGGACATTCTTTGGAAATCCTTACCAAATAAATTATATTCCTCTAATCTACATACTGTTTTGTTAAAAAATTTGGAAAACCCCTCATTTAAAAAGGACTTATTTGTATAGGAAGACATCACTTACTACAATTCTTTGTGACTGCTACACTGCTATTGCCACACATGGTTATCATTTTGAAAAGGAGCTTTAAAGAATATAGAAAAAGTAGAAAAGTTATTAAAATATCAATTTAGAGAAACTGATCTAGGACAGAACTTACTTTTTTAAAAAAGTGGTGAAAGTTGAGGCTGACTTGCTAACTCAACACAAGGTCACCATTTCGCTACAGCAGTAGTACCCAACTCCAATGTTACTGATCAAATACCTCATCAATTTATTTAAATTTACCATACCCTGAAGATGGCGGCCTAGGTAAACAGCTCAGCTCCTCACACACTCATGCAAAACAACTAAATTACACAACAATCATTATTCACAACTGCCAGAAATGGAGCTGAAGGGAAGTCCTACAACTATAGAATTAAAAAAGAAACCACATGGATACTGGTAGGACGGGAGTGAAGATGAGGAACAGACTGCTCCCACACCCACGAGTGCCAGATAAAAATTGGGAGGGATACCGTGGGAGCAAGGGGTCCCAGCCCCACACCAGGCCTCCTAACCTAGGGTTACAGTGCCAGGGAGGTTAAGTCCCCATTTCACTTCCTGGCTGTGAAAACCAGCGGGGACTGAGGCTGTGGAAGACAGAAACTTCTGGATTCCCATGCAGTTCCTCTTAAGAGGCCCACACACAAATTTACAGACTCATTCCCTCTGAGCTCCAGCACCGGGGCCACAACCTGAAAGGCACCAGAGGCACAGGAAAGAAACTGAAGTGTCTGGCACCAGGGCAACAGCTGGGGGACAGCTTTCTCCAAGACAGAGCTGCTGGCAGAGGTCATTGTTCCTTTTCTGAGCCCTCCCCCAACAGAGCTGGCAGGCAGGGGCCATATCTGAGACTATATCAACATGGCTCACACTGTTTGCCCCACCCTGGTGATTCCCTGAGGGTACGTCCCATCCAACTTTCAGGCCCACTCAAGCTGTTTCCACTGGCTTTTCCACATGAGACTTGTCTAGTTCATGCTTCAGATTTTCCTATATCCCGTCAAACAAGCAGCATCAGGCCTCAGCAAGCCTGGTACCTTTTCCTAAGTGGCCACAGGCATGGCACTAGCAGCAGCCAGCCTTGGTTCATTGCATGACCTCATTTGCGCATCTCCAAGCACAGCATTAAGTAGCAGCCATCTGCAAGTCACTTTGTAAAATAGATATGTGAGGTGACCCCAGACAGAACACAGGTGGTGGTTGACCTTAGCCTGCACCTTCCTAGAAACCCTGACCCTGTGTATCTAGTGGACAACTGCAGATCCCATCAGAGCACCGACTTACCCAACCACATCCACAAGTGACACACTCAAGGGGAAGACTCAGCAGGCTCAGAGCTCTGCTGAAATAAGTCCTACTCTGTGGAGTATCCTCTGCACAGCTAGTTGATTCTCCATGGACGGCAGAAGTTGGTGGTCAGTGGTCAAAGTCAGTCCCAGCAGCTGATCAGCCTGGGTAAATCCCTTCCACTGACTTTCCAACGGCAATCAAGGCTTAACTACAAAAGAAGGGTGTACAGAGACCACACGGTGGGTGCACCTTGAGTACACATCTTGGGTAACAGGGGAGCCTGTGCTACTGGACCCTACAGAACACCTGCTGCATTAAACCACTCTATCTAGCCAGACAGTCATAGCAGCTCTAATACATATTATAGAAACAAACACAGGGAGGCTGCCAAAATGAGGAGACAAAGAAACATGGCCCAAATGAAAGAACAGACCAAAACTCCAGAGAAAGAACTAAACAAAATGGAGACAAGCAATCTACTAGATGCAGAGTTCAAAACACTGGTTATAAGGACACTCAATGAACTGAGGGAAAGAGGAGATGAACCAGAGAAAATTTCAGCATAAAAAAGACATGGAAACCATAAAAAAAGAACAGTCAGAAATGAAGGATACATTAAATGAAAAGAAAAACAGTTTATAGGGAATCAACAGTAGAATAAATGAACCCAAGAATCACATCAGCAATTTGGAATATAAAACACAAAAACACACCCAATCAGAACAGCAAGAAGAAAAAAGAAATTTTTTACAAATGAGGATAGTGTTAAGGAGCCTCTGGGAAAACTTCAAGCACACCAACATCTGCCTCATAGTGGTACCAGATAAGGAAGAGAAAGAGCAAGAAATTAAAAACCTATTTGAAAAAATAATGACAGAAAACTTCCCTAACTTGGTGCAGAAAATAAACATGCAAGACCAGGAAGCACAGATACTCCCAAACAAGATGAACACAAGGAGGCCCAAACCAAATATATCATGATTAAAAAGCCAAAGGTTAAATACAAAGAATCTTAAAAGCAGCGAGAGAAAAGCAGTTAGTTACCTATAAAGGAGTTCCCATAAGACTGCCAGCCGATTTCTCAAAAGAAACTTTGCAGGCTAGAAGGGATTGAGAAGAAATATTCAAAGTCATGAAGAGCAAGGACCTACAACCAAGATTACTCTACTCAGCAAAGCCATCATTTAGAATCGAAGGGCAGAAAAGGAGCTTCCCAGAAAAGAAAAGGCTAAAGGAGTTAATCATGACCAAACCTGTATTATATGAAATAACAAAGGGACTATTTAAGAAAAAGATAAAAAATTTGAACAATAAAATGGAATTAAACACATACTATCAACAATTGAATCTAAAAAATAAACATACAAGCAGTAC